GTGGAACTCGTGTGGCCTGGAACCTGCTCCTCAGGGCCATGGGGCAGCTGCCCTCCAAGCATGGCACTGCATGGAGAACAGGTGGTCAAGGATACCTATGAGCAGCCTGGCAACACGATGAAGGGTCCAAAGCACTAACTGGCATGCTGAGGTGGGCTCAAGGCGCAAAGGACAGAGCCAGGTGGAAGAGCGCCCACAGGTTGTAGATCCAGATTAGAGCCCAATGCAGTCTCTACTGGCAGAAGGAATAAGAAATCTAGTTATTACAAAAGCTATAGTTTTTCCACCACCAGAGTCCCCAGATTGGCTAAGAATTCCCCAGGCTTTTCAGTCCGTTTGGTTCCTGGGTGGCCATGGAAACTTCTTGTGCCTACTGGGACATTTGGGGTAACAAGCCAACTGGAACAGCAGGAGTTAGTCAGCAAGTCACAGCCCTGCCCAGCCACCACCCCATGTACCTGCTTACTGCCAGTGTCTGTGCAGCTACAAGGACACACTCCTCCCTTTGCGAGTTCCACCTGTGCTGGCTCGTACGGTGAGATCCACCCAGCCGCTCAGGTCAGACACCTGTGTGTGCTCCAGCATGTCCCTGCTTCCTTAATTCCTTCTGTTAGCTCTCAGTGGATCCCAAACCCAGACGTGCCTGTATGTTCAACCCATTCCCCTGTTGTCCCGCCACCATCCTCTCTTTTCTGAAAAGGCCTCTAACTATGTTCCGCCTCTATTCCACAGACTCTTACACCCCAGCCAACTTCATGTTTCAGAAGTGCTAATCTGATTGTAACCTGAGCTTCTCCCAACTTCACAATTCCTTCCAAAACCAAATAAAGTAAATAGAATCCGATTTCTGGAAATCTGCACTTCTCTAATTTGGGGGGATCCCCTGGGCATCTGTTATGAGGCATCACTTCCCTCTCTTACCAGTCCCCAGAATCCTGCTTTTGCCATCTCCCCAGACCCCCTCCCCCCAAAAGCAAACAGTTCCCATATGCCACAGTAAAGATCCACAATGTCTGAATGGACTGGGATTGGAGAGGAGTTAGAGTCATCCTCAGTAACAGCTGAAGATGGGTGTCAGGCTGTTAGTCGTTAAAGCCCTAACAGCCTCCAGCACCTGCTAACCCTTTGCAGATATACTCAAGATAAAATGAGGTCGGTAAGGTGGACCCTCATCCAGGATGCCAGATGTGGACAGATGCACACGTGGCCAGGAGAATGCCAAATGCAGGCACAGACACAGGGAAGATGGGGCTTCCTAACATGGAAACAGAGACTGGTGTTAGGGTGCCCTCTCCGCCTGGGAGGCGAGGAGTGCCGGGGACTTACAGAGTGAAGAAAAATGCTTCCCTAGGGGCTTTGCAGGCCCTAAGCAAGCACCGTGACCCAGAAGCAAGAAACGACACATCTCTTTTGTTTTTGGGATGTACTTATTTATTTGAAAGGTAGACTGACAGAGGGAGGGAGAGGGGAAGAGAGAGATAGATAAATACCTTGCTGGTTTATTTCCCAAACAGGCTCAGTTGGGACCAGGCCAAAGCCACGAGCCTGGAGCTCCATCCAGGTCTCCCATGTGGGTGAGGAACCCAAGCACTTGAGCCATCCTCTGCTGTTTGCCCAGGAAGCCTGACTGGAGGTGGAGCAGCCAGGGACTCAAACAGGCACTCAGAGCGGATGCTAGAATCCTGGTTGGCAGCTCTACCTGTGGCACAGCAAACACGGGTCCCGAGTCAACACAGTTCTGTTGTTTGCAGCAGCCTGGTTTGTGGCACTTTGCTACGGCATGCATGGGAAACCAACAGCCAGACCTCACCACTCCTCCCCTGCAGGGGACTGAATCTGTCCACCCACCTCTGTCCCCCTTGAGCACCCACCCTGTTCCTTATCCTTGAAGAGGGCTCTCAGCACCCAAGTTCTCTTTCTCCCTCAGACCCCCGTCCCAGATATATCTCCCTCTCTAATCCTATCTGCTTCTCGGTCTGTTTCAAGGTCAAAACTCCATTCATTTTATTCTCTTCCCGCCCACTTCCCAGGAAGTCACATATTGCACGATTTTTTTTCTCTGTAGTTTTAGCCTCTTGGCTTCATCCAGACTGAACCCAAATTCCTACGGCCTCCAAGCACCACGTCCTTGTTGTTCTTTCGCCGTAAGGAAAACTTCCTTAAAAGTGTTCTCTCCCCGCCCTACTACCATTAAGTACAGGCTTTTAAAATATCACTTTTTCTACCCCCTCTATGTAAAACTATCTTGTCACTCGTCGGTTTAAAACCCTTATCCTTGTGCCCTTGGGAGCTAATCCAAACCCCTTTGATTCTTTCACTCAACAAATAATTAAGCGACTCTCCGGTTTCGCGGGAAACACCACCAGGCTGGAGAAGCAGCAGCCGCAACTTTTCTGTCACCGAGCCTGCAGATTAGCGCAAGAGAAAGACAATAAACAAACGTGCATCCACCTCGGCTGCTACTCAGGCGAAGCGCAGCGGGGCACGAAGTTGGATGGATGCTCAGCGAGGAACAGAATTCAATGGAGACTGCAGCTTGATTCCACGTGAACCTCACCATCAAAGGTTGCAGCCGGTCAGGGAGAGGTGATGCGACACTCACTCCTCATTGGGTGGCTTCATGGAGTGTGTGATCGCTGCTGGGGCTTATGGGAACACGAGTGTATGAGGTGCTGACGTGGCATGATGTGACACACTGTTCCTGATGATGACAGGTGTACCAACACATGAGCCAGTAACATGTCATTCATTTTCTTCCGTTTCTTCTTGCTGTCTACTTATTTACTGGGGCCAATACTGTGGCTTAATGAGTAACAACCACTGCCCATGGCGCCGGCATCCCAAATGGGTCCTGTTGTTTTAAGCAGCCTGGTCTGTGGCTGCTCCACTTCCAATCCAGTTCCCTGTATATGTGCCTGGGAAAGCAGTGGAAGATGGCCCAACCGCTTATGCTCCTTTCGCCCATCTGGGGGACTCCAGAGGGAGTTCCAGGCCCTTGACTTTGGCCTGGCCCAGCCCTAATTGTTATAATCATTTGGGATTGTATCTTTCTACACTCTTTCATGGTCCTCCACTTCTTACATGGCCTTTCAACTGCGCCATGGAGCATGAGCTCCTTGAGAAGGAGGGAGTGTGTCTGTTTTCATGTGCCTGGAGCAACAGCAGGAGGAGGAGCTCAAGAATGGTGAGTGCACGCCCTGCCAACTCTGGTGGGTTCTTGCCAACAGCGCATCCGCAGTACACTGCCTCCTCTTGAGGGCTTCCTAAGCTTTGCTGCTTCCAAGGCAGGCTTGAAGCCCAGTCGTGGTGGACATATTGAATGAGCAAGCATGCAGGGCCTCGCTGTTTTGGGGATCAGGATTTAAGGGGACCTCACAGCAGGAAACACCTGGAACTAGAGGGGTGGGAAGAACAATGCCTTTCATTTTCAAAAGATTCACTTTATTTATCTGAAAGGCAGGAAAAGCAAAATGAAAGAGGGAAAGACAAAAAAGAGAATACTCTTCCATCTGCTGGTTCACTTCCCCAAATGGCTGCAATGGTTGTGGCCCAAAGCACTTGGGCCAAGTTCTGCTCTTTCTCGGGTGCATTGGAAGGGAACCGGATCAAGAGGAAAGCAGCTGGAACTCATCCAACACACATAAGGGATGTCAATGCCTTGACCCCCTGCACCACACACCACCGGCCTCAGAACCGTTCCTGAAATGTACTGTTCTCACGAAATATTTAGTTCCCCCCAAAATAGATCGCTGGATGGGAGCAAAACATACCAAACTCTTAAATGGGGAATTTTGCGAGCCAAGTTTCATTTTTTTTAAAAAAAGATTTATTTTATGTTTATTGGAAAGGCAGATATACAGAGAAGAGGAGAGACAGAGAGGAAGATCTTCTGTCCGATGACTCACTCCCCAAGTGAGCACAACAGCCGATGCTATGCTGATCCGAAGCCAGGAGCCTCTTCGGGTCTCCCACGTGGGTGCAGGGTCCCAAAGCTTTGGGCCATCCTCAACTGCCTTCCTGGGCCACAGGCAAGGGAGCTGGATGGGAAGTGGAGCCACCGGGATTAGAACCGGCGCCCATATGGGATCCCGGGCGTGCAAGGTGAGGACCTTAACCACTGCGCCACTGCGCCGGGCCCCCAAGTTTCACTTTTGCATTGTCGCTCATTGTTATGCATAAAATGGTAAAATGGTCCTTGCCCGTCCCCTCTTTTTTTAGCACAATCCATGACTCACAAAGATCTTCCATCTACTGGTTCACCCTCTAAATGGCCTCAATGGCCAGAATTGAGTTGACCCAAAATCAGGAACCAGGAGCTTTTTCTGGATCTCCCACATGGGTGCAGGGGCCCAAGGACTTAGGCCGTCCTCATTTGCTTTCCCAGGCCACAAGCAGGGATCTGGGTCAAAAATGAAGTAGCCACGACTCAAACGAGTTACCCGTAAGCAATGCCAGTGCCAAAGGCAGAAGCTTAACCTATCACAGCATGGCACAGTAGGTTCCCTTTTAAAATCAAGTAACATAAGAGGGTGGAGCACATGGTTGTGGTCACAGATCATCAATGGTCCAGGTGGAGTGCTGGGTCAGAAGGGACAGGTCTAGCTATAGGTCTGCAGCCCCGGCTGCCTGTAGGTCAGACCACGATCTCCACCTAGCTGGACATTGCCAGTGGGAGACAGGGACACCACTGTTGTCCAGATCCACCCAGCCAGCACGGCTGTACCCACACTGCCGTACGACCGCTCGTTGCCTACATGTGTCTGTCTGAACTTGGAATAAAGGTTCCAGCCCACAGAGGCCTCAGTGTACCCAGAGTTCTTTACATCTGCCCGTCTGCCGCTCAAATCAATGCGTATTTTTTTTAATCCAGCTTAAATACTAGTTGGACTCTCTAAAATAGAAAAGATCCCATACATCTCATAATGGCCAGGACATGTATGACACATGTATGTAACCAGTTCATCAGCCAGGCAAAAGGAAAACACAGCAGGGCCCACCAGTTGGTAAAATATATTTTATTTGTTCATACAAAGAAATAGTATGAATTACCATAATTCCATTTTCCTAGAAACATCTTTCTCTGTGTAAAATTAATTTGTTATACATAGGACAAAATACTTGATTTTTTTTTTTGTACATACTGGCTATTCTAACATCTGGGTTAGAGAGGACATACTGCTAGAATTTGCACAGTACTTTATATTATGGGGCCGAACGAAACTCAGTCATAAATTAATGTTACAAACGGGGGCGGGAGCATCTAACCACACCTTCTATGCTGTGATGAACATCCTTCCCAATGAGCTGGAAAAACCATGGCATGGCCTCGTGGGTCAGCATCTGAGATCCATCCGTATTAAGTGCTTCTACATGACTGGAACCTTCCATTAGCTTTTCTTATTGGAAAAAAATAATAATAATAATAATCCCTAGCAAGATCCAAATCTCGGCAATGTTGATCACCCCAAATGACTCCCCAAGGGAAAACCCTCTAAGATTTGTTCTCCTCCACCATCTGATCTAGGATTTATTCCAATCGCTTTATCTAGCATACCTTTCTGGGTCTCCCCTACGAAGTTAGCGGACTCCTGTACAAACACGTCGAAGGAAGTTGATGGAACAGTTGTTTGTTAATCTTTTTAAAAGAAACCGAACAAGGGACAATGCGAGGCGGAATCAGCACTCCACAGAATGCCAGAGCATTCCCTGTAAACTGTGTGTGTGGGGGGTGGGGGGGGAGAGGACCTGAAACATGGGCTACTAGCACTAATTGCCAAAACACAAAACAACGCTTCTCTTCTAGCAGCTCAAAAGTTCACGCACCGACCAGACTTGTAGAACAGGAAGCAACCCCAGGCTTAGTTCTCCACCTTGCCTAACTTCTCAGGGGGGAGACGACACGTGGGTTCTGGACTAACGATCACATGACTTGGAGGAGTGGTGGTGGGGGTCGGCTTCTCCCAGAAGCTGCACCGGCTGAATCCGTCAGGAGCTACAAAGCCCCCAGACCGCTTAGAACGGCAAACTTGCTGTGTGTCAGCAGTTCTAACGCTCAGCATGTTTGCATCTGAGAACTTGACCTGTCTGGCATCCTGACCTACCTCAGTGTTCAGCAGTAGAGGACCCTCGTTCTAGGGGAAAACTTCTGATTTTGGTTTTAAGGCCAGGGGATACACTGCTTCATCAAGCTTCGTTGAGCTTAGGAGGCAGGCATGAGCCGACAGGAGTGAAGCAAAGTTTCCTATGGCTTCCTATTACTTGGTGGCAGTCTGAGCCACCGCTCAGAATCTCGAGCTGTGTCCGACCAGGGTGGCGGCCAGAAAGCATGCAGGTGGGACTACATACTGCCTTTGCCTTCAGGCAAGCCTGCGCTCTCACTGAGATGAGATGTTTTCAGTTTGATTTCCAATGAACCTCCCACATGCACAGGGGGAAAAACAATCCCAACCCCCCCCCCCCCAAGCATCGTGGGGCAGGTGCTTTTCACACCCAACTAGCAAGAGGGCAGACGCAAGCTATGTGGACAGTGCTCCCCTAAGTGCAGATGGAAGAATCTGAGACAGCAAAATAATAATGGTAATAATGATAAAAAAAATATGTATATATAAATGCTATAAAATAGATCTGACATGTGAGGAATGCACGGGGCTTCCAGTGGCCTTCCTCCCAAAGAGAATCTACAAGAGTTCTGCTGACACAGCCTAAATGAGCTGCTGGGCTCCAACTTGCCGGCAGGTAAAAGGACAGATGATGGAGAATGGCATTTAAGGCCAGTGACATCGCTCATCAGCTTCCAAAGATAAATTGCATTTCCTCTTTCCCTACATGCTACCACGCCAGGGACACACACAACATGCAAGCACCCTTTGTAGACATTGAAATCCTGATGATTTCTATAACACATGTTCATGGGTCTACACGTATATTTCCTGATGAAAGTAGAGGTTACACAGTGTCTTTGTGGTAAAAACGTTCGTTCTTAGCACATGAAAGATGAACTGGATTGTTAGGCATTACTGCAATATGATAACCTGACTGCCAACTGGTAGCCAGTGAAATCTCAAACTGCTCTCTCAGCGGAGATGTGCAGGGTAGACCTTGTGCATAGCAGTAGCAATGCCAGCAACCCTCCTTTCTGCAAAGGCCTGGCTGCAACAGTGGACAGCCTTCCCCAGCACCACAAGGCAACACAGAGCCAGCTGTCCAACAAGTCTTCGAAGAGACAGCCCTTGGCTCTGGCTGTCTGCCCATCAGCTGCAGACCATGTTGTCATTCTGAGATGAGCTGGACATTCTGGGGAGGCGGGAGGCATTGCCAAGGGGCTCCCTTCCCTTGCCAGATCACCTGTCACACTTGGGTCCTCCTTCTCTTGTCCTGGGGGATTATTGCTCAACACTGGCTCACCCTGGACTTAGCAGCCACCTATCTAGGAGACACTGATGGCTGTGACATGCACCTGACCACCCCAGGGTCTGGATACACCCAGGGCCCTGGGTTTATGCTGATGGCTTCTGCAAGCCCATGGGCAATTCTTTGGTGTTTCAAAGCAGAACAGGCTGCCTGGGGAAAAAGGAACAGGAGGGCAGCGTGGTTTCATGCAAATGAGCAGAGAATGTCTTTATTGCTAAAGCAGCACCCAAGCCTCTCTCTCTCTCACTCACTCACACACACACACACACACACACACACACACAACGGGAGAAAGGGGGTGGGGGTGACGGCTGACATCTGCAGACACAACCACCTGATGAGTAGACCCAGGAGGCAGGGCAGCAGGAGGCAGGGCGATGCAGGATCCCCCAGCAACACCAGAAGCTGCCAGCATGTGGATGCCCGTGGGAAAACGAGTATCTTCCAGCCTGTGCTGGGTAGAGGTGGGGTCCTCAGCCCTGTGGCTTGCTTGCATCTCTTCCCCGAGGAAGCTGAGTGGTGAGGGAGGGCCCTCAGGATACAGCAGCAGCTAAGGGCTCACACATGGTACCCAGGCAGAGGAAGCAGACACCGACAAGCAGACCAGCCACTGGAGAACTGCAACAGCGATCAAAGGCAGAATACCCGTAACAACGAAAATCTCAAGCTGTGCTTTTTCTTCTTCTTTTTAAATATGCTAGACAAGGGGGAGTCGGGGAGGGGAACCGGAAGCACCATCCATTGTTGTGAGGGATAGAACGACAGACTTTATCGGAGTTACACGCTTTGGAATGTTAACAGACTAGGAAGTGGACTCTCTTCAAGAGTGTGGCTAGGCAGCTTAGTGAATTAATTGCTTATGAATTAAAAATAAATTATTATAAAATAGATTTCTGTACATTTTACATACATATATAATCTCTCTCCAATACATAAGCCACGTGGTTGAGTCACACAAAGCCCTCTTTCCCCTTGTCGGCCTTCAATCCCAGCCAAAGTCATGGCCAGTCATCTGGTAGAACTTGAGGTTAAAGGGCCGGTAGAAGTCGCGCAGCCGGCGCAGCGCCTCGGCGGCGATCTCGGGGTGCGGCCGGCCCTTGGTCTTGCCCAGGCAGTGGGGCTTGCTGCTGCCCTCGGGCTTCTTGAGGCAGGGGAAGCCCTTGGTCTTGTTGAAGTAGAAGTGCTTGTTCGTGATGATGCGCTTGAGGCCCAGGAAGTCCTGCACGCGGCCCAGCTCGCCGGCCGGGTCGCTGATGAGCCGCTCCCCGCTCACGAAGAGCAGCTGGCGCAGCGGGAAGTGGCGCAGCCAGTGCTCCAGGTGCTTGGCGTAGATGCCGATCTGGATGGCGCTCCACGACGTGTCGATGAGGCCGGCGCTCCTGTTCTTGAACGTCAGGCTCTCGAAGCTGGGGATGTCGGGCCGCTTGGACAGCGTCTGCGTGTAGTCCGAGATGGCCCTGGTCACCGGGTCGCGCACCACCACGATGAGCTTGGTGTCCCTGGACATGGCCGAGATGCGCGCGGGCGCCTCGCGCGTCACAAAGTAGCTGGGTGTCTTCTCCATGGTGATCTGTCCCTCCAGGGTCCTGGGCATCAGGTCCCTGAGCAAAAAGCAAGCAAAACCAACGTGGGGTCAGAAAGTGTTGTATCTTTGTCCTCCCTTCCCAATGTCTACACCTCTGATCGCCAGGAACATGGGAGAATGCAAGCAGAATCCTAGAACTACAAGATAGCTCCAAGATAACTACCTCCCGGAGACAGAGCTCTTTCATCGCTGATACAAATGCCCGTAGTCATTTGCCACTTGCAAACCTGTTTTTGGCTTAACTATCCTTCTCTGTGTCCACCGGAGGTTGAAGCAGTATCGCCTACCTAGTTTTGTGTAAATCAGCACCGTGATATATAATCCCACAAACGTTGACACACGACTATGTAGCGATCGCTGTACAAATACGCTGGACGGTGCTAGTATTTCAGGGTCTGTGGATGCCAAGGTCTCTTGTGTAGAACAGTTTCTGGCAAATCCACAGGCCGGGGCTTGAGGAATTAGACAGAACATCCGCCAAGGCCAAGCAAGGTGGGAGGAACCGAGAAGGCAGTCCAGGAAGTCCCAGCTGGAACGAACGGCACACACTAGGGACAGCAAAGGACATGTTCAAGTTCAAGGAGATGTGACACCTCAGGGGCATAAGACAGTGGGGGACTGAGGGACAGGATGGCCTGGGGTGAGACGTGCTACTATCACGAGAGGCTACCAGATCTAAAAAAGGCAAAGGCAGGGACAACAGTGGTGCCTTGGCTGCGACATTCCTAGCACCAGTGTGGTACCAGGGACATCAGCAGATGTCCAGGAAGTTACTGTTGCAAAACCCCGACTGGGGAGATGGTCTGGCTGACCATGGGTCCAGAAGGAAGCCCTTGAGAGTATGGGTGTCAGTGGGCAGGGGACTCTGGCACTCAATTGTCACTCTTGAGCTGTGCTAGTAGCGGGTAGGGCCTCTTAACATCTCTGCTCCTCGGTGGTTATTGTGCGACTTAAATTTGATGTGTAAACCTGAGCTCAGACTTCCCAGGTTCAAATCCTAGCTCGGCCATTTAGGAGCTGTGTCCACGTGAACTACTTATTATTCTTTCCCAGCTTGCTTTTCCACATCTGTAAGAAATGGATCTGACAATGCCTACCTCGTGGAAGCTTACTGAAGATTAAAGCCACAAAGAATAGCTTAAGACAGATGGTACGTGCTTAACAAGTACCAACTCCCCCCACTATGTTAATTATTATGGCAGCTTACTACAGTTAAAATTGAGCAGGGTCAAAAGTACGCAGAGGAAGGTACTTTGAAATGGGATTAAAAGACAAGCTTACTTTGGTGCAACTTTTTTTTTTTTAAATCCGAGCACATTTTTTTTCTTAATAATAATTTCCACAGACTTTTTGAAGCACTTTCCTAATATGTGCATGCCCTCACATACACTTAGCTGGACGCTAAGCTTTGCTCCAGTGTCTGCCAACATCCACTTGCTCCAGCACAGCGATTTCTCACTGGGTCACACCTAGGCACAAGGATCATCACTTACATGCTTTTTTCCCATAGGATTTTTGATCAATGTTTACTTCTGTAAATGTCAAGCCATGTTCATCTACTGAGCCCACAGCTGCTGGGCAGATCATATTTATGCAAACGAGGATATCAAGTGTGTATCACACAAACCAAGCACGAGTACCCGGAGTTGGCTTGCTTGCCCGCTTCCTCGCTCACCGGGACATTGGCATTGGGCAACCCAGAAGCCTGCCTTCTCCCTACCGCAGCCAGGCCGGCTAACATTAAAGCGGGATTGACCCACTTTGTGCCCATTAACCACTTAGACTCATGCGACAGGGCGTCAGGCTAATGTGATCAGGGATTAAAGAGTCTCCGCTCTCAACTTCTTTGGCATGTCTCTTAAAAAAAAAAAAAAAAAAAGCAGGGCAAGTCAGAGAAAAGCCAGTTTTCCTCCCCCACTCTCCAGAGTGAAGCTATCTGCAACTAGACAAAGGTCAGTGTTAGGAGGCTGGGAGTTATCACCACCCTTCAAGTTGCAATCCCCAAAATTCTTCAGTGCTTATTGCACAGGGGTGAGTATAGAGTCTGTCCTTTGAAAACCTATGACCCAGCATAGGGGTGGAAGTCAAGCCATCAGGCTACGGCTCTCGGCACCAACATCAACCTGGCCAGGTCACTTAACCTGTGAAGATCACATCACAGCTTCTCCTGAACGATGAGAACACCTTCTAGGGCCTTTAGGTGGTTTTAAACATTAGTATTTGAAACAGAGCTTGAGCTCCTGTTCATTAGTTCATTCTCCAAACGCCTTTGATGGCTTGAGTGGGGCAGGGCCAAAGTCAGGAGGAGCTCAGAGCACACAATCCTAGGTCTCCTCCACTGGGTGGCAGGCACCCGACGACTTGAGCCCCCATCACTGCTGCCTCTGAGGGTACACATTAGCAGGAAACGAGTGAGGAGCTGAGTTTGGGATTGAAACCAGGTGTTCGAGTGTGGGAGGTGGGCATATTAACTGCTGGACTACATGCCTCTGCTCTCTTCCCAGGGCTTTTAAGAGAACTTAGGCCAGATGTCTCGAAGAATGGAACTTGCATTATTTTTAACATATTGTTTACCCAATACTATGTCAATTAATTCCATAATGTTGTATAATGATACTGAGGCCTTGTTGGGGCTTTTAACTGACCGGATCTTTACTCTGTTAGACCTATCTTCAGACCATAGAAGGTCTCCCCAAGAGGCCACTGAACTTATCTGGACAATAGGACACGGAACTTTATGCTAGGCATGTGTTTGCAAGCAATGAATCTCAACTGAACTTGATCTATGGTTATGCAACAAGGTGGAGGAATCCACCATGGGGGGAGGGGTGTGGGAGGGGTGGGGGGAATCCCCAGCGCCTATGGAGCTGTACTACATAATACAATGTAAGCAACAATAATAAAAAAAAAAAAAAAAAAAAAAAAAAGAGAACTTAGGTGCTGGCCCTGGCACCCTGCCTGGCACCTAGCCAGCACTAGGAAGGGTTTATCAGTTATCTCACTTTGACACCATCTTGGTCAACAAGGGCGTATGTAGGGAAGCACGGTTTCTGCCTGGAGGTCTGCCTGGAGGAATTGGGTCCCACCCCACAGAAGAGCAATGGGGAGGGTTTGGCTTTAGGGAGGTAACCCAAACACAGTTTGAACCACTGGTATTTTATAACCAAGGAGTGGGGGTGAAATGGGGGATTTTTGTCAGTGGATTGAAAACATCAGGGGGATTCTGGCCAAACTGACCAAACAGGACTCTTGCTGAACTCAGGCCCGGGTGACCAGACATGACCTGGGAGAGCATGGAGGATGACAAAGGTGTTTAGATAGCAACAGTTGAATGGGAAGTTGAATGGGAGGGGTGAGGAAGGAGGGTTTCTTGCTAAACTGACTTGGCAAATCTTTGTTAAAACTGGATTTTAGGGGGCAGACATTTGGTTTAGCAGTTAAGATGTCCAGGTCTCAAATGAGAGACTCCACAATTCACTCCTGGCACCGAGTCCCAACTCCAGCCTCCTGCTGAGGGCAGCAGGAGGTGGCTCATGTAAGCAGGTCCCTGCATCCATGGGGGTCGACCTCTGTGGGTTAGTGGCTCCTGGTATGGGACCCCTGACTGTTGTAACATTTGGAGAACAACTCTTGGAGAGAAGTGTCTCTCTCTCTCTCTCTTTTTCTGTCTCTCTCAATGGAATGCAATAGAATAGAACAGAACAGAACAAATTAGAATAGAATAGAATAGAATAGAATAGAATAGAATAGAATAGAATAGAATAGAATAGAATAGAATAGAATAGAATAGAATAGAATAGAATAAGAATGAAACTAAGTTTTCCCAAGCCACACATAGGGACCTAGGAGAAAGTTCTGGAGCCCAACTAAATGGTGGTCAAGCAGATAATCTTTGTCATCCAGCTGTGGAACACATATGGTCTTGGATGTGTGTGCCCAACTCTCACCTCAGAACACGCAAGCCCTTCTCTCCCCACTTGCACGGTTCTTCTCATACCATCCTCACCCTGGAGCAAAACTGATGCTCTGAATTCACTTCCTGGATTCCCCCTCGGCTTCATCCCCTTTTTGGGTCACACTTGCCAGCTTCATCCTCAGAATCCCACTCGGAGCTCAACAGAAGCTCAGGGAAGCAAACATGAGGATGAGCTCTAGGATGAGACCCTCCCACCCTAAACCCCCAACCTGGGCCCATCCCAACCACCCCAGCACTGGCAGATCCAGCCCCAGGCCGACCTCCAAGTAAGCAGGTTAATTGAGCTTCTCATTACGAAAGCCAATTTCTCAGTCCCAGCTAATAATTATATAGTGCTTAGGAGCTTGCAAAGAAACTTTCGCAGGCACTATCTGATTTGATCCTTGCGAACGGGTCTTGGAGGTGGGTGCTGTAGAAGAGTCTGAGCTTAAAGTGGTGAGAGAAACCCGCGTGGGGCTTGGAAACAGCTCCCCTGCTACAGCTCCTTCCACTCCCCAGGATCGTGTCCCTCTCAACTTCCTTTGCTTCTTTCCCATACGATTAAAAAAAAAAAAAGTGGACAGAGCTGCCCATCTCTTGTAAAGACATACCTGCAGTTTTCCCTTCTCCTCTTATAGATCAGAATCTTAATAGTAAACGTTTCACTCCTCATCACAAGGCCACTGATCCTAATTGTTCAAATACGACTCTGATTTCGAAACAATAAACCTCTAGGGTTCACATACTCCCACGGCCAGCTGCCTTCTATGCAGGCTGGAAAATTACCAAGCATTGCACCATCTCCCTTCATGCAGTGCCCTAGAGTGACCCCTTCCTCTTCCCTTCACAAACAGGGCCAGGAACGGATGCTTCCCTGAGTTACCGCCAAAAGATGCTCGTGAAGTTCAAGGCCATAGAAAAGGACAATATAGAACAACCTAGAAGCCGAGGAGGTGCTGACCAAGCAGAGGTACCTGCCAGGGAATGGAGGCTAACAGGGGGCAAGATCATCCCGCTTCTTCATGCAGACCCCAGATAGGGTAAGCAGGCTTGGCCTGCTA